AGAGTACTCCAGGCAAGAGAACACCAGGCTTCAGGCTCGGGATGTGTTCCCAAATGTCCTGTCCAATGGAACTGCTCCTCTGCCAGCTCCTGTCACTGACTTCACACCACACACTTCATGTCCACCCAAACACAAGAGCAGCCTGCATACCCATCATAGAAACTACATTTAACTATCTCTAAAATGTGCCTTATCTTCTGGATATGAATTTTGAGTTGTATGTGTCTGAGTTGTTTAAGAATTTCATAAAAGTGGGGTTTCCTTGGTGGTCCTGAGGTCAAGAACCCACCTGCCAGTGCAGGGTATGTGGGTTAGATCCCCAGTCCTGGAAGAGTCCACACGCTGAGAGGCAACCAAGCCTGTGAGCCACAAGTACTGAGCCTGCGTCTGGGGCCCACGCTCTGCAACAAGAGAAGCCACCACAATGAGAAGCCCACACACCGCAACCAGAGAGTAGCTCCCGCTCACTACCACCAGAGAAAGCTTGCATGTAGCAACAAAGATCGAGTGCAGTCAAAAATAATACAAAATTTGTAAAAGAATTTCATAAAAGTAGAACCCAAGTATTATCAGTCCTTTCTCCAAACATCATCATTGCAGCTTCCACATTCTAAACCAGGGAGCACTCCCGCTTTACAAGGGAAACCAGATAAAACAATTATCAACAATATCACCTCTAAATTAGTAGCAATGCAAGAATAGCCAAAAAGATCTGACATAAAGCTATAAAACAATCCAGTTTGTTTTTAATTTTAAAATGAAGCTCACTCAAAGTCCTTTATTTGGTACAGTGAGATCCAATGATGGATTGGTTAATTAATTTTTTTAGTCTGGGAAATAATTCAAGCAGGTATGCATTATGTATGCACATATTTATACATTCCCACATTTTCATTTGAAATATGTAAACGTACATCCATTCACCATCTTTTTGCTGTGGAGCCAGGTAGACAGGACACACACACAGATTGTCATTACACAGATTTTACACATGATAATGAGGGCCAGCCTCTCAAAGAAAGCAATCTTTACTAACAGTCAAAATGTTCTATTCTGTTGTGTTGTTCCACCATTTGCCACTAGCCCTGTAAGATCTGGTCTTTATGACGCCAATACCTTTAGCAATTCAGTAGAATTCAATTAACCATTCAGTTATTTGATTTATATCTGGCAAACATCTTAGCGACCAAATGTTTAACTACATGACTAGAAATACTAGCAGAAGAGTAAAAACCTTAGAAAAATTAAAATCAAACTCTATGTATGAAACAAAACACATTTCTTGGGTAAATTCACCTATATAAGTTATCATTTTGCTCTTCATATACTTTCCAGTTCAAATTGATCCTTCCAGTAAAAGACTGCTAAAGTTGAACTGTGTCATAACTCGACAGTTGCTCACTTACGGAACAGATTAAAAATTACCATTTGGTTTCAATATCTGCTTAATTAACTTACCTACAGAACTCAGAACCCACATTCTGGTAAATCATTTCCCATCTCTTGACATTCATACTACTTAAGTTACAGTCAACCAGTCAACAAGTATTTATTGCTCTGCCAAACTAGTGAAATAAGTATAGGAATAATAATAAGTTCTTTTTAGGATTACATAGTCTAGAAATGGAATGTTAAAAAGACTCACTACCTGAAGAAAGACAAAAGCAAAGAATATTAAGGAAATGTTACTTAGAACTGCTGGTAAGTGTCTTCATTTTCCACATCACTCTAGAAACATCAGAAAAATATCTTCAAGGTTTATTTATTAGGAAAAAGTGGTTCACCTAAGATGCATGCAAGACAATTTTATAATGGCCATTTGACTCTCAAAGATTTTTGTATTAACTTGTTGCTAAATAGAATTGTAAGTTAGTCAGTACCTATTGCATTTCCCTGTGTTTTTCAGTTGGGATTGTAATTAAATGAATTTATGTGAATTAACGATGTTTAAAACTATAAAATTCAGATATTGAACATTTTTACAGACATTAACAAGTTATACTTTAAGCTAACATTATGATTATGTTTCTAAGTATCAATTCCTGTAAATAAACATATACAGACACACATACACATATATTCCTCCTTTTGTGGGGAAAAAAACAGGGAATTTTTAGGGCAGTGAAACTATTCTGTATGATACTGTGATGGTGGATACATATCAACATACATTTGTTAAAACCCACATGCTATACAGCACAAGGAAAACCCTAATATAAACTGCAGACTTTATAATGTACTCATATTGGCTCATCAATTGTAACAAATGAACTACATCAATGCAAGATGTTTATAATAAGGATTACTGGGTGTGAATGGATGGAGACATGAGGAGGTATGTGAATTCTATGCTTTCTACTCATTTTTCTGTAAACCTACAACTACTCAAGAAAAATAAAATCTATTAAAAGAGATTTCTAACAAACATCATGATCATCTTACCTTTGTATTAAACTCAATCATCAAAATTAATAAAGTATCCCCTTTTTCATCAGCCACAAGTTTTAAAAGTTTTAAACATTATGCCAAAACTATTGATAAATTTTGATGCAGTAAATCCTGCCAATCCCAGACATCAGCACCTGCAGTACTCACTTCCTCCTTTCAGTTTATGCATGCACCTGTATCCTTATTCCAGTTTGAGGCTTGAAAAATGACAGTGAACACAGGTCAAAGACTGTCTGCAGATGTTCGTTCAAACGACAAACTCAACATTTCATTCTTATCAGGATGAAAGAAGGCACAGTGTAGAGTAGGGCATTGACCTGGAAGATGTCACAATTATAGTGCATCTGTGGGAATTTAGAAGTTCAGTTTCAGAGATATGTTTTAAACAGTTAGAAGCTTCTAAAATGTAGGGTGCAGAATGATGGCTCAGTCATTAACACCTATGCAGTTCCTCCTGGGCATTCAGAAGATAAAGGAAAAAATGGTTCTATAGGGAAATCAGTGTTGGGTGTTATTTTGGCATTCCCAAGCCTGGGGTTTTCATTCAGCTTCCACTTAGAACAGTCTGAGGGCCTTAACAAAACAAGTAAGGCACTTGTTATAAGTCACAGGTTATAAATCCTTTAGCCAGAACTTGCCATGAAGACCCAAGACTTCACAAGAGAAAGAAACTAGCAATGCAAAGAATGCTTGAAACAACTTAAAACATCAATTCAGCATGGGCTATCTGTGGTAGACCTATTACCCATCTGATGCAGAAACAATTTTCCACACTAAAAAGCACTTTAGAAGTATTGATGCATTGGGGTCATAAGTGTAGCAATAATTCACAGTTAAATAGAACACAGACCTCAGAAAATATTTCATAAAAATAAAATTATATTTCCACTAGGATATATGTTTAAGATATTAACTAAATTGTAATATCTATTTTAGCAGTAAAGAAAACCAAAACTTCAGGAAAAGAAATTAGAGAAAAACATAAATTCAAAATATTCCTGGTGAGGATGAAACTTTGTTACCTTCTATTGCCTGACAGTAATTAACCTAAAACTCCTATTTCTCAAAGTCAAAAGCCAAAACTAAGTAGAATTTTAAGGGTGACTTGAAAAAAAGAAAGCAAAAACCAAAACACCAGTGATTAGCCCAGGGTTACCTGTGTCTCATTAAGTTCACTACTTCATGGTTTTCAGGAAGCTTCATTTTTACATTCTCTTTAAATATTTTCAGCTACCTCTTTTCTCCCTTTCTTAGCATTCCCTTTCCAACCCTCAAATCAGTCATTTTTACTCAGACTCACTTTTTATTTTAAAAAGCTACTCTATTTCAAGTTTAAAAGAAAAGGAGAATTATTCTAAGGGAATTCCCCTTGTCAAGTAGCATAAATTAAACTCTCCAAGAATGAACACTGAAGGGATTCCAAGTGTTGACAGAACTTTTCTCAGCTATTCACATTCAAACAACTGAACTATGAGCTCAGATGAGACCCCAAGTTGGGTTCACCTAAGGCCTTGCATATCACTATGCAAGGTACAACCGACCATGACCTTTGTGTTAAGGCTACCTTTGTCTTAACACTTTTCCCTTACCTCTACCTGAGTATCAGCTGTATTACTAGCTTTGAATACCAATCTGTTTCCCCCTTGGTAAACAGAAAAAGGAATGGAAATAATCTTTACTGCCATCAGTAGCTACATACACAAGGATGTTTTCTCTTTCATTGTGTGTTATCACCTTTTCCATCATAAACTGTTGCACAGAGTTATGGCCATACTTATCAATCACAAGTATATTTTGTCTTCTATTTAGAAAGTCATATAAATGATTTATGTTTGTTGCTAATTCTTTAACCTTAGCCTTCATTTCTAAATAAAAATAGCAAGATGTTAAATATAGCTGCTGGAAAAAGAGGCAATGAAATGATGAGAAGATTCCTTGGCTCTCATATCCCTCCCTGCATTACTATCATCCTCGGTTAATGAACTAGAGATTTCTTTACCTGATCTACCCATTGAGGTCACCTGCACTATCCAACTATCTCAACTCATCACTTCCCTTTGCAAACTGAGACCTGGTCATTGTGTGTTGGAAGAAGCCAATCTATAAATCACAAGCCCATGTGATTTTCTATCAAGACATACTGGAGTCCATTCCAGTATTGTTTTATAGTCATTTTTTCACACTTTAGAAACTAAGTTTTATAGTCATTTTTTCACACTTTAGAAACTAATCATATTCAGTATATTAAAACTGTCATTTCTGCAAAAATTACTTTATACCACACTGCAATAGGTAACACTATGGCTAGAATTGTTTAGTGAGATATTTCTTTTATTTCCAGGCTTGTGGGAAAATAACCATGTGTCATAGTTAGCTTAATTCTATGCCAGAGATGAGAACTAAAATAAGTTCTGAATAGGAGTAAATTCCAGCACTCAATATGAAACAGCATTGCCCATCAAGACTAACATCTTTGAAAAAGACAACAAACCATGTATTGAACATGGGTTAACTGAAAAAAGCAAAAAATTGTCAAAACCATAGATCCTTACCAGAAATGGACTCCAACAAACGCAGGAAACACACATTATACCCAGAAGCTGGATGACCATTTCAAAGTGATGAGACCTGCCTTGTCTGTGCTGCTGACTTCTAAATTTAACTTTCAAAAGTGAAATTCCCGTGATGGCATTGCAAACAAATGAAACACCAAGGGCTAGGAGCCCCAGAAAAGCAAAAAGTAAAAGATAAAACCTATCTTCCCAGTCTTTGATTTGATCTGTTTTGTAGAAACACCAGGTCCTTGAAGCTTGAATTTTATAGTCACGATGCCCAAGGATGGGCAGCAAAGCTACAAAAATAGCAAAAAAGCACACCCCACTCAACATCATTTTAACATGTTTGGTTGTAATTTTTGTAGAGTGAAATATTGGTTTGGTGACTCCAATACATCGCTCAATGGCCATCAAACTGCCTAGAAAAAGTGGGCACAGACCAGAGAACACCATGCAGATACCAAAAATACTGCAAAGGATATTTGACTTGTCAAAGTAGATCCAGTCTTTATCAGAAGCATACACAAAGACGGCTATAGTTCCATTGATGAGGTGCCCAAAGAAATCTGTGATTACTAGAGCACTAGCCAAAAGCAAAAACGATGACTTGTACTTCTGTCTAAATCTCTGGTATGCCTTCATGAGAATAGCAATGGCAAGGCTGTTCGATAAGATTCCCACTGTCATGAAGATTATTGAAAAAGATATTGAAAGGTCTTCTTCCAGTTGGCAAGTTGTATTTGAAAGGAGCTCAGATGCAGGAGACACTGACTGTATAGAACTGTTTGTGGACATTGTTGTGGAGATAAGAGCCGGCCACTCAAGTCATCTCCCTCTCAAGAGTTTAGGCTTGCAGTCCAGAGATCTGTAGCATAAAGACAGAGAAATCATGAGCCCTGGAAAACTGTTCATCTGGCATCCCAGCACCCTATGGTGGGAATCAGATTTATTCAGCCTATCAGGAGCCAGGTTGCATCATGCTGAAAACAACACACATCTGCCTGGAGTTCCACATCTTATTTTCAAGGAAAAGAAGCTACCAGAACTGAGACCTCTTGGTTAACTTCTGTGTCTATTCTGCCAATGAGTACCTCCAAAATCTCCTCCTGACACTTCACTGACACCCTAAAACTTCAGATTTACCAAGTCACTTAACAAGACTAGATTTAAACCCAACTGAGTTTTTAAAAGTATGATAGTCTATTCTAATAACTAAGTGGCGGTCTATACTTTTTGCTTTTTCCTCTGATGAGCTTTGCCCCAAAAGTACAGATTATTCCTTTGGGAGCTATGTCTGTTTGCCAGGCAGACAAAAATCATCATCCCCAGACTTTGGAAGGGTGCAGGGTGGAGCCACAAGCACACTGATGCTGCATGGGCTTCTCTGAATAAGTTCTGAATTTGAGCTAAAACTATGTGATTTAGCTCGAATAACAGCAAACCACACACATCAGTGACCCATGGAAGGCTACCACCTGTGCAGAAATGCAGGTGGGTGACAGCAAAGGAGACGGGCCACCCTCACTGTGGGCACTTCTGCCTAGATGCTGCTGATCTTAAGTTACAGCTTCAGGGCAGCAATATCCAAAGCGAGTAATTCATTTGCAGCTCTTTCCCTAAGGCTTCCTTGGTAGCTCAGACGGTAAAGAGTCTGCCAGCAATGCAGGAGATCTGGGTTTGAACCCTGGGTCAGGAAGATCCCCTGGAGAAGGACATGGCAACCCACTCCAGTATTCTTGCCTGGAAAATCACATGGACGGAGGAGCCTGGCGGGCAACACCCCATAGGGTCGCAGAGTCGTGTCCGACTGAGAGGCTAACACACACACAGCTCTTTCCCTAGTGAGCTGAGACCTGAGTCACAGACCCTCTAAGCCCACCCCCGCCGCCGCCCCGCCCCGAGCTCTTTCGGCCGGCGTTTCCCCAACAGCTTTCCCGGAGGCTAGGAATTCCGAAGCCAGCCTTTCCTGGGACCGGACCAAGCGGGGCCGCCCCGGTCTGCCCGCAGGGCGGCCGCCTCCTCCGAGTCTTACTCACAGCGCTACTTTCGCCCGCAGCTACCCCAACGCCCCCAGGCCTCTGCTTGCAACATCCTTCCCAAACCTCTTAACTGGCTGAAACTTTCTGCGATTGCTCAAACTCCAGAGGGCCGGTCTCCCTCCCACTCCCGGGGCGCCGAAGACCTGCGCTGATCCGGATGTGGGGGTCGAAGTGTCGCGGGCAGGGAAGCGAGGGGTGAAAGGGGCTATTTTCCTTCACCCGTTTCCCTCCTCTTAGACCCGTTCTCCCGGGTCCCAGTCGCGCACCTCAGAATCCGGACGGGTCGGTCTTTTCTCTGCGACTGTATCCCCAGCTGGGGGCATCTGTTCCAAACTTGTTGGCCAGCGTAGGCTCAGGTACCCTCGGGTGCGGCTGCCTGCCGCCGCCCCGGGCGTCCGAGAGTGGGGTGGCTAAACCTCAGCCGGCTTGAGCACCCGGAGACCAACGCGTGGGAATCTAGCCGCTAGAGGGGTGGTGACCTTGGCATCCCCGGCTGCGGGCAGGGCTCTAGGCGGAGCAGAAGGGCGCGCCGGCCCGTGAGCCATCCCGCGCCCCGCTCTGCTTCGCCGCCGCCGCCGATGCCGCCTGAGCGCAGCGCCGCGCCCGCGCCACGGCTCCGGCCCGGACTCGCCCTCGCCGCGCGTCCTCCCGCGCGCTCGGCCAGCGCGGAACCTGCCTGGTGCGCGCGGCTCGCTGGATCCTTTAGCACCTAGCGGCGCTTGCCGCCTGGGCGGGGAGGAGGGCGCGGTTGACCTCCGCCCCTTCCTCCCCGCCCCTTTCGCCTTGAGCCGGACCCAGAGAAACTTCAGCACCGTGCTCAGATGCTACAGCCCCCCTCCTCAGCATCACTACGGCCCTCTTAGCTGCCCGACCACTTGGGGAAAAGTTTTGTTTTAAACTCATTCTCCAGCTAAAGGCGCCATCCCTACGGCTGTAAAATAGGAATCAGGAGAGCCGAGGAAAGCGTGCAGACAGCAGTCGTGACAGCGTATTGGAACTGTCAGATTGTAGTTTGCCGACTGTTCATCCCAAAACCAGCTTAAAATGAACAAACCAGGTACAAAGAAAGAGATGATACATTTGAGATGGTGGGCTTAGGGGCCGATATCCCCAAGAAGTGAAAAACATTTGGGCCACGTGTTGTCAATGGGAAGTCGCTGCCTTAGGATTCGCCGTCACTTAGAGGACTGGACTGTTTCTAGCTTTCTAAAGAAGGTGAGAAGGGAAAGGGTGAGGCGTATTCTCGAAGGACACATGCAGATAAAGCAATAACATTTTAGTGATTTTAAAAGCCCAATGGTGAGAGAATTTCTAGTGGTGTGTTCACTCAAAGAAATTCTAATAAATTTTGCTGAAATCGTTTTATAATCAAGTAAAGAAATATCCACTATTTCATTAGGAATTGTAATTCGAGTCATTTTAATGTTGTAACCGCTTTTTGCTTATATTGTTTTGATCTGTACCTATTAACTTTATGTCATCTTCATAGTTTATGGAAATGTATTACTGATCTTTGCTCTTTTTGTCAGTAAAATATTGCCACAACTTATGTGAAAAACCAATGCCACATGGAAATAAACCCTCTTTTCTCTGTTCTAAAATCAGAAGGGGCCTCTAAACTCCTGGAAATTAAAAAGAATCATAAAATGCTACAGTGAGATAAATAAATTAGCCATTAACTATAGAAAAGAATGATTGCAGTTTTTTTTTTAATTGCAGTTTTTCTCTATGGTAGACACTGAGATTTTTTTTTTAATGATATGCTCATAACTTGTAAAATAAACTATTACTCAGGTAGAGCCACTTGAAAATTCTGGTTAATCAAATATTCTAGTTAGTAGAGAATAGTATGTCTGAATGACCGGTGTCCAAAAACAACTATGTAATAAACCACATGGAAAATGTGAATCACACAGAGCACTAGTCTATCCTTTAGTGATTAATATCACTTGATCACATTGGATACAATTATCTATTTACTTACGCCTCTCCCACTGAACTGCATTTCTGCAAAGGTCTTATTCATCTCTCCATCCTCACCTAGAACTATCCTCCTGGTCACTTACTAACATTGTTTGAATTCATCAGTGGTACAACCAACATTTCTAGGATCACACTTCAAGATCTTAAAAAGTCCCCATCTCTCACTGGCACATCTCACTAACAACAGCTACTTAATCTGCTGAGTGAAAAAGAGAAAATTCTCATGAATGCAATTTCAAGTCATGTTTATTATGTATATTCAAAATATTATTAATTTATTTTTCAAAGTGCTAGATAAATCCTATTTTTTTAAAGTATCTACTTTGAAAAAAAGTGTCTATTTGCATGTATTCTTGGAGTTCCATTTTTAGAATCCTTTCCTTAATCAAGATACATTTCACCTGAATCTTAATAAAAGATTCTAAAGAACCTACATCTCTTCTCAAGATAGAATATATTAGTATCAGTAGAGAAGGTACTAACTAATATGGAAGAGTAAATAATTAACTAACAACTCTTAAAAGAAAAAAATACATATCTGGCCTTATTGCACCCAAATCTGATCCCTATTCAAAGTTCCCAATGGCAGCCTCTGACTGCTTATATAAGGAAGTGCTAAGTCACTTTAATCGTGTCCGACTCTTGGTGACTCTATGGTCTAATAGCCCACCAGGCTCCTCTGTCCATGGGATTCTCCAGGCAAGAATACTGGAGTGGGTTGCCATACCCTTCTACAGGGCATCTTCCAGACCAAGGGATGGAACCCAAGTCTCCTGCGGCGCCTGCACGGCAGGCGGATTCTTTACTGCTGAGCCACCGGGGAAGCCCCAGTGTAAGGAAGAAGAGCTGGCAAATCAGCAGATGAGAGAAACAAACAGATCAAAAATTAGTTGGTGGGTGAAGGGGGTGAGAGATGGTGAGGGGGGAGGTGGCAAGGGGGGTGGTTGATAAAATTCTTCTGAAAAACAGTAGTTGGTATCATTACTGCTGAGAAGCAGACGCACGTAAAACTCAACTTACACATTCATTCAACAAATTTCTTGAGTGTCTATTTTGCATCACACACTGTTTCTAAGAGGCAGAAATACAGCTGTGTGGACAAAGCATCCAAGCCCCTGCTCTGATGTGGCTTTGAAGTGAGGGAGGGCACTTACTTTTGTGGCGCTTATGTCTAAAACCTTGATGTGATTTGGTGGCTTCCCTTTAATGGAGCCAAAGCTGATGTCAGCCTGTCGACAGGAGATAACATGACAGGTGTGGGCTTGGCAGTCACCTTCTTTCAGGATTAGATGCAGAACACTGTGCTCAGAGAAGTGTGCACATTCTAATTAAAGTCAGAGAAACCAGGACTCAATGACACTGAGGACGAAGTAAAAACTCCATAAAAATTAAAAGGCGTGTTGGAAGTTGATTTTTATAGTTTTAATAAAACTGTCTAGGAAAACTTTTCTGGAATTTACCATTGACATTCATGCTAGAAACTATGTCCCAGTTTGGCAGTAATTAAAATAACAACTTCTTTTTAAAAACAAAATTATTATGTAACTCTTTGAAGCACCAAAAGTAACATATGTAATGCATTTGTAAGTTGTGAATTATTATGTAAAATAAACACCCATGTACCTACTATAAAATTTAAGGACTATATGGATTTCCTGGGGCTGCTGTTACAAAGTACTACAGACTGGGCAGCTTAAAAAACAGAAACGTATCTTGCACTCTGGTATTTAGAAATCCAAAATCAAGGTGTTGGCAGGGTTAGTTCCTCCTAGG